CTAATACTCTCTACTAATAATACTACTATCTAGAAGTATAAAATACCTAGTAATCTTATTAAAGTAAGATTCTAATTAACTTTAATTTAATTAAAGATTATATAGTATCTTAATTTATTATTAACTTATATTATTAAGTTACTTAATTAGCTTAAGAAAGATAATAAGCTAATAGCATATTAGCTAGTACTTATAGAGTTTAAAGTTACCTAGCTTTAAGTAGCTAACGTATAGAAAAAGAAGTATAATTTATATAAAAGAAAGTAAATTTAGAAAGAGAATACTCTTATAATTAAAGCTAGCTTATAGCTAGTTACTTAAAAAGAGGCTATAAATTAGAATAAGAGTAAGAAGTAGCATAAAAAGATAGTAGTATATAATAGCTAGCTAGCTTAATAACGCTATAAACGCTATAGTAAGCTAGAGTATAATACGTAAACGTACTAAATAGTTAAAGATAATATAGATAAGTTAGATAGCTTATCTAAATTTATCTTAAGTAGCTTAGAGTTAAAGTAATCTAAATAAGATAGTAGTATTTAGTAGAGGCTTAGTATTTTTAGAGTATTTAGTAGTATAGAGTATTTACTAATAAAGTATATTATAGAATATTTAATAATATAAAGTATATTAGTAGCTTTTTAGTAGAGACTTAGTATTTTTAGAGCTTTTAGTAATATAAGGCTTTTGCTAATAAAGTACGTTACTAATTAAAGAGATAACGTTTCGAGCTAGCGTAAAACTAAGGTGTAATCTATTCTCTGTAAGCAGGCTAGTGGCTGAGGTTTGTGGCCGTGCAGTCGCGGCTGCATTAAAAAGTATCTCAGAACCTATCTAAGTTTCAGCTTGCAACTCCTTCGCACGTACGTCGGGCTGCCTGCAGCACGCTATAGACTACTTCGTCGCTCTCTGCACACTTGACTGCACCCTTCTCGAGCCGCCCGCCATCCTTATTCCACTCCTCCGCATCAAGCTGTTCTGTATCGACCCACGAGAGTGCCGAAGTACCTTCCTGTGCTGTGTTCTGTAAGTTCTACTGTACATACTGCAACTAAATTAACCTTCATTGTATCACGCCCTAAATTATAGTCGCAGATTGTCTACCCCCAGCGCGTTTCGCTGCCTCCCCTGTCTCCCGATCCGCTTCGACTTCGTCCACGCTACTCCTATCGCATGCATCTCCAATGCCCACTCTATAACCAAGCAACCTTACCCGCTGCCATCGCGATTTCTCCTAGACCATCGCAGCCGGCCACGATGAGTCATATTACTCCAAAGCGGGTTGTCCTCCGATGTCGCGAACAATATTTAAGAGAACAGGGAATGATGGTTGAAGCTTTCTTCGAATCGCAAAATCTCCTAAATTTGGAGGACTACGGCGTACACATATGTGGAGAACCCTCTTCTCCTACTATTCTATACCTCGTCCTCGATCTCTATTGCAAAGAGATTCCCAGTGTCGATCTCAGAGAAGTAGAACTTCAAGTATTCAAAGTCTCAAAGAACAATACATTGTGCGTCATCTTCCTCAGCTGCAAGACCTAACTAATTCAGATCTAGTACGTTCAAAGATCTTGGAGAGGATGCTAGCAAGATGGCTTACCAACGATCTCTTACACTAGATTGGGGAGCTAACCAATCTAATCAGAGGAGTTAGACGGTGTCACTCCCTTGCAAATGGAGCAGTCTCCAGCTATGTTTGTATCTTGGACGTCGCGAGTCAATGGGAGATCCCTTAAAAACCCAGATGGTGGCACGCATGGGTCTCTGTTAGGGCGATTGAGTGCTGTTGTATAATAGATAATGTGGTCTCGATTTTCGTGGGGAGGATTGCGCGAACAAGATTGATATGTTTTACAAGCCCAAGAACACATGGTTGCAAGCAGGAAAGATACCTCAGAAATGGAATAACGTTGTGTTCGAAGAATGCAGGGACGCTTCGCTCTCCCGAGTTGACGCTGGACGTATCTGGATCCTCGTTGCTTGGGACGAAGGGGCGGTTAGGAATCTCGCGGCGGGGAATGGTGATTGATTCGGAATTTATGGATCTTAGTGTTTGTCTTACGATGCAATTACTGGTCAGCCTTTACGCAAGCCTTCCGAATCGCTCTTAGACGGGCGCCCCACAGTACCCCCGCGCGCTGTGGTCGACAGGTCACGACTGATAGCGGGGTGTTCGGTGGCGGGTCTTGCAGCATCTGCCCCGGGCCGGCTTGAAGTGCTCTATCCTATTCCTCAACAGCGCTCACCAAGTTCGATTAACGTTCGAGCCAACCTATTTTCAACTTCGCGGCTCAAACGTATAGCAACCGCAATTACCTGGAATATCAAAGTCTCAATTAGGATTCTTCAGAACTGATGAAGTCTTTTGCGAGTACAGTGCCGGGGCCTGTCTTCTGCCGGTTCCTGTCCGTGGAGTTAAACAGATTGACAGCCCTATAGTTCTTGGCTCCGTTGCCACCACTTCGAATGCCACTATATTGTCGTGGAGGGTCTGAGACCGCCGCCGGTGCCATCCATGTCCATTGTGGCTGGGGGCTGGGTCGTACATGGACTAGAGCGATAGTATCATGCGGGGAGGACTCGATATGGGCTACCTGCATGCTGATAATGGGCAGATCGTCTGCCAAGAAGCCCTCCATATCCTTGCTGATCGACCGGCATCTCTCGCGGATGAAACCAGGAACCGAGAACTTTCCCGGGTAACCGACCAGACAGACACCGAAACGTGGAGCATTGGAGTAAGCGCGATCCGATTGCGTTCCTGATTGATGGGAGTGGGCCCGTGATCGAGAAGAAAAATTGCGTCCTGCGCTTACATTCGGCCAATGAGACGCGTGCGTCCATGCAGATGCGTGAAAATATGAATGTCTCCTGATAGAAGCCGCGAAGCCTTTCCCGACATAGCCGTGGTACGGAGGTGGAGGCAAATAGAGGCCATTCGAAGGTAAATCATTGCTTTTTCCGAGGCGTGTGAAGATGACTGAAGCAATCCAGGTCCATTAGCGCAACCTCTTCGAAGAAGCCTGAAAGCCGACAACCAACCTCGAACCGTCAGATGCGGCGACCGAAGTATGACCGGGAGAGTGACCGATCTTTCGCCTTCAATTCCAGCCGAGCATAGAGAGAATATCAGGAATCTGGCGGAACGAATATATAAGGATACGACGCAAAATACGACGGCACTGCGTCTTACCGCCCAAGAAGCCGACGAAGTATTGGGAGATATCAACAAGGCCATTGAGAGGATAAACGCGGCTTTGCAGGGGACGGCGTGGTCGGAGGCGTATCGAGCGCTTGTGACGATGAGGGATGTGGTATGTAACGTCGCGGTACATCCCGTGTTCTCTCATCAAAGTATATACGTAAAAGGCACCTAGAGGGGCGTTTAGCGTTATGCAGGTACTTAACTAAGACACAGGCGTACCGACCCATACTACTAAGAGCTGCACTGACTTTGTACTCGCGTCTTCAGGTCCAAAACTTTTCCGCCTCTTTAAGTATGAGGAGAGCCTCATTGGGGCAATATGACACGGTGTGGCCGGGATCAAGATGGAAGGGATGGAATTGACATTTAAAGCAATGGTCAAAAGCGGGAACGGACTTCAAGGAATGACAAAAGGGACGGTTAGATAAAAGTTACTAGTGCATTATCGAAGAAGTAAAACGCCGAGCAACACCACACCGTGGATACCTTGGTCGCATTCTCGCTGCGTGGCTCCAGAACTCACCGCTGACGAGTGCTGTGCGATCTCATGAGGTGGCATGCTCGGAGGAGTGCTTGAGAATGGGCGATGATGGATCTTTATTACGAGTGGCACTGAACGCCTTGAGCATGCCGGAACGGTCATTAAGTGTGCGAGGATCGGGTAAGGTGTGGGAGTGCTGGGAGGCGTGGAAAAAATGGTGGACTGGGGGAAGATCGAGGGGCAGGCTTTCGTGTGACGACTGCCCCCACGGCGTTTGCTGGGCCATGCGTTACGAGGGCAGAGATCGGCGGTTCCGTCAGGGTGGGTTCACCGGAACGCTGGAGTACTGTTTGCGTATCTACGCTGCTCGTGAACCTATCAGCATGTCCTTAGCGCGGGCCTTTCCAACCCCAACACTGCTGAGCAACTGCGGCAGCCTGCCCCCAACTCTATATATATCCCAGCGAAGGCCTGGAACAATCTACCAGGTGTATAAATAGCCGGCAACTTTACATCTCTCCAGGACTGCAATACTCTTGACTGCCTTCAGGAGTACCAACGAACCTGACGCAAAAAGTTTTACTGCAGCGCACTTATCAATACTTCTGGTAGTTATACTGCGTCCATGGAAGTACAATTTACTGCTAATACGGTCTCTCAGCAAAATGTGCAAGAATCTCATCACCCCCATGAAGATGCTCTGCGGACATAAAATCGAGAGCCTTCCCACCACGGTTCCTGATAATTGTGGGACAGTCAAACGAACCGAGCACTTGGCGGAGACCAGAAAGCGGACACTATGCGATGATTGCCAAGCAAACGGCGTTTGGGCGAAGAACGACGACGGGCATTGGGTCAAAGCTTAAGGGATTCATTTTCGGGTCTCGTGACGTGGGCAAAGATCGGAACTCGGCAATGACTAATCGACGTGCGCTACGCGCTTCCGTCGCGTGTCTATTCCGCACACCTCACCTTATCCATCAGACCCTACCCCAGAGACCGTTATAGTGGGGTTTTTTTTTCGGGGGGTAAAGCACTTCAATTATCGATTTGCACTACATCCAAAACCAGACCCCAATGTCCTCTCAACCTTGCCTTATGACTCTCGGAGGAATTGGGGCGATTTATAAACTAAATGACTTTGTCGTCGTGAAAGTACCTCGCGACCCGGTCGAACCTGATCATGCCGCCGAGCAACGCGTCTTTGATATTCTTGAGCGCTACCCGGCTCACCCGAATTTGGTCCGAAGTTTCTTACGCATCCCGGGCAGGACCTTTTTGGAGCGGCTTCCTGGTGGCGACCTTGCATCACTCCTACGTGCTCAACAGACAAGAGACACAAGTACCCAGCAAGTGTTAATTGTTGCAGAGGTGCTACCACTGGAAAGATCATTCTGGTGGATGAGGGAACTCACCTCAGCCGCTGCCTGGCTTGAAGGGATCGGTCTCGTGCACGGCGACATCCGACCCCCAAATATCCTGATCGATGCCGAGGGTCACGTCAAACTCTGTGATTTCGATCGTGTGGTTAGGACTGGGGAACGACTCGATGCCGGTACTGAACCATTTGCTCGACTGCTAGGTGACGAAGGAGGCCGAGATCGCGGAACGTACGGAAAAGCGGGTCCTCGGACGGAGCAATTTGCACTCGGCTCAGTCCTTTATTCAATGACACGAGGGTATGATTTATACGAGAACCAGTGGTTTGGATTGGATCATGATTGTGTTGTTATGGATATGCTTCAACGAAAGGAATTTCCTGCGTTGACACATTCCCACGAAGACACGATCATATCCAAGTGCTGGAATGGGAATTATGTTACCATCCAAACACTTAAAAATACGATGTTGGAAATAGTATGTGGACCGTACGAGGAGGCCAAGACTGAAAGCACAGCATGGTATGTCCAGCATCAAGAGAAGTGCAAAGAGATGGTCAAAGAGGGCGTCATGGCTACTCTTTAAGAAGCGCTACCTGGGTACAGTACTATAGCTCCTGGAGGCTAGGATTAAAGAGATAGAGATTTTCCATTGGAACTCACTGGCAGAGAAGGCGTGAGAAGATCTTACGCCCTGCGAGGGAAGACCCGGAAGAAGAAGAAGATTTGAACGAGAGCGACTCCTCTCTAAGATCAGACAGGGAAAGCGAAGGCAACTGTTACTTCGGCGGGAGCGCCGTGTCGAGTGCTGTTAGTCTCATTAAGCTTACTATTCCTTAGGCAAGAAAGAAACACACCTATCTGCTGCCACTGCGGTGAATCTTCAATACCCCAACATAACAGTACCTGTCCTACTTATAGCGTCGACCGGTGCTGCCAAACCATCCGCGTACAAGTCCGGAACCCAGCCAATCGGAACGGAAACCGGTGTAATGCGGGGTACTTATGAGTGATATTCGCCAGCCATGGACGCACGGAATGGTGAATTCGCACGATTAAAGGCCGATGATGTGACTGACCTCCAGTCTCCTCACTTCAAGGTATGAGCTTACGGCAATGTCGGGACGGGCATGTCCCAGAGGAGTTCTCCCGCGTTTCTCTTCAGCCTACTTATTACGCATGAGCGAGAACAGCAATTACGAGATAGGCTTGCATCTCAGCCAATCCGGTGTATACCAACAATATGCTGCAGTATACCGATGTCAACTTTGCATGAGCCACTTTAGAGAATGTGCAGTGTGCGTATAGCCATTTGACCTACTGGTTGCAAGGTTGCATACTACGGCTATCTCCAAGTATAAGAGGCACACGAGACGCCAGACTTGCCATAACAACACAAGCAATCAACTTGACCTTCGAGCTCATTCGAATGTTTAGGTTAAACAACACCACAATGCCAGATAACCCTCCCACGAAAAGGTGCAGCGGCTGTGATGCGGTTGTCTCAACCACTACTACGAAGTGCTTGAATTGTGGAGGAACAGATTTTAGCCCGATCTATTAGGCGGGCCTTTTTATTGATGTGGCGGGGGTTCAATGCATCGGTCACACTCATTCAATCAAAGTTGAGAAGTCATCAATTGGACATATCAGAATTTGAGAAGCAGCATCATTCGTTGAATTAATCCTCTGTGCCATCCTGCCTCATTTGATCTGGGGGCGGAAGTTCCCCAAGTTTGATTAACTCGTGTAATCCCTTTTTGTCGCTCCACTTGTCGTAACATTCTACGTACTCCGTGGCAAGGAATTGCTTTATCAGATGGGCTATGCTTTTGCTACGCCTATTGTACGCATCTGGACAAAGCGTTCCAGGCCAATTCTCCATTCCTGGTGGGTAAAATCCAGCATATTCGAAATCAATCAATGCCTTTACCCCCAGTGTTCGTGGATCCATTATGATGTTGTGAGCCGCAATATCGCCATGTTGGAAGACGTACTCAGGCAGTTTTAAGGGGAGAGTCTTCCAGCATTCTTTTCCTATCCACGGAGCCTGGACGTCAGGGCTTGGCCAAGACGGGGGCATAACAAATCCATCGATACCCCGGTATTGGGATTTCATGGTCGCGAGCTGTGGCAAAACCGTGCCAGAAATGAACTCGAGAGCATTTCTATAAGCCTGGTCTGAACAGTCTTTGCATGGCGTATCGTCTGTATGCTTCTGTCCCTCTGGCTTTGAGCAACTTCGGCTAGGAAACGTGTCCAGACGAGGACCTTCCATGAACTTTGTCTTCAAATACCTCCGACCGTCTGGATAAGTTCCATGGCCAAGCAGTTGCGGAACAGGTATGTCCGTCTCCCTCGAGACTAGTTCCAAGGCTTTAGCCTCGTTCGTGATGCGCTCATGGTTCCTATCCATGGTTACTATTGCACGATCTTTTGGTGGAAAGCTAAGCCATTCACTCCTTAATCCGCCGAAATAGTATGACTGTTTCTTACCAGGATCTATACCACACGAAAGGACTGCCATCAGGCCGTTGAGTATGAACTGGAAGTCGCGAAGTCTTTGTGAAGGTTTCGGATGTGTACTCGTATGTCATGTCGTTTGTTTTGAAGAATCCGATATCTGCATCTAGTCAGCAGCGTCTGAGATAATTTAGAAAAAGTACATGCCACTCTGTGCCTCCATCCTACGAATGTAATCGTATTCTGACTCGAATGCCTTAGAACTTGCCAGTCTGCCTATTGCGGGCTTCATCATTGCGACATCCGAAAGTTCTGTTGTGCTGCTCGCAAGTGAGTGGTAGAGGATGGAGAGCGCTGCGAAGCGAAGCTTTATTCCGAAGAGACCAAGGGGCGGTGAAGGAAGGATACCAGCTTCGTCTAACTTTGTTTGCAATCCGGTGGCGTGCCAATCTTAGCCACAGTCGCGCCATTGGCTCTAAGGCTCCCTAAGTGAGGCTGTTGCTGGGTCAATCAACGCGACAAGTACTGTAATTATATGCAGCTGCACATTTCCGCGCCATTTCCTGCGGAATGTTCTGTAGCCGTATCTAATGCTCTAGCTAGATTGCGACCGTGGCGGCATCGTGCGGAGTTGCAGGTGGTTGTGAAGCGGACTGGTCGATCATGCCCAACATCAGGTACTCCGTAGTCTCATCCAGTAACGATGTAGGTCATCCTCCAAAGGTGAAGTATCGTTAACCTCTTGCAGAAATTTCGCTGACTCTTTGCAGCTATCGCAAACCGACCGCTGGCCACCGCCGTCAATGTCCACAGTTGAGCGTCTCCAACGACCAGCCGACCTCTGACTCCTTATCGTACACCACCGAGGATTCTGGAAGAGAAAACATCTCCACAGTAGAGATAAATATACTGGTAAAGCCTCAAGGTAGAGGTAGCTCGTGGGTAGCCAACTCGAACAAATTCTATGTGTGAAAGACCCCCAGCGTGCAGGCGGCAAAGGGCCCTTTCAAATATCCCTGATCGCTGTTGGGGGTACATGAATATACTTCCCGAACGCAGTCTGGAAACGAGTCGCTTGTCCATTGTTGTTGTAACGTTAACCTTTCTTTGAACTTCAGTGCAGAGAGCGCCTTCAGGTCCTCCAGAAAGAACATATCGGCAAGGGTCTTTGAGAAGCGGGGGGTCGTCTAAAGGCTGTTCGAACAGTAAAACGTGCAGGCCGTCGAAGCTCGCCCTCAAAATCTTTTGATAGATGATCCGAATAATCTCCTGTGTACAAGTACTCAAATACCCCCTAACAAGCGGCCCCACTCCCCCCATTAAACGTGAGCTTTTGCAGGGTTCGTTCAACGAAAGCCGATTGGAATGCCTTGTCGAAGTATTCGCTTTGTATGCAGATGACTGACTTGTGTACAGGTAGTGTTACGTCCTGTATAACAATTGTGGCATCTGAATATTTCGCGTTATTGAACATTCTAGTTGGCAACTTAGGCAAATTACTTCAACCCAACATAACGGAAGCGGATCCATTTCCACTGCTCGTCCGGTCAGGCCCGGCCCCCGAAGATCCTGCAAAAGACATTTGGAAATTTCCCCAACGAAATCGGACAATATCGATTGATTGATTTCTCTCGTTTTAAGTCACCAACCTATAGAGGTTATGCTGACTACGCCTACGCGAAAAGGACTCAAAAGACGCCAAAATTAAGAGAAGGGAACAGGGTATCACAGAACCACGGGCAGGTGGCATAAGTCGACAGAAAAGAACGGTTCGGGCGCGGATGAGGGCGTAGCCCACCGCGAACCATGGCACGAAGCTGCCAACGAAAAAGGGGCCCTAGAAAGCTCCTCAACAACGACGGTGGTTATCGAAAAGGGCGCAAAAGCATCAACTAACGCAAAGCAGAGAAGAGAAACGCTCCAACCAACACCAACTACATCCTTAAACAGAAGGAGTTCGTCAACGGTCTGCTTTAGAAAAAGCAGAAGCGCAAGAGCTGCAACGCTACGGACGAGGCCATTAGGGACGTTAGAGCGTGGAAAGAGGACTAGATACAAGACCTCTTAGATCTGGAGAGGAGGTAGAGCACTAGGGAACAACGGCAGACAACTTAGGTAGCAATACACTGTCAACTCATGCCTATACACCATGTGCAAAGACTCTATATATGAGACACTACGGATCTGCGTCGAAGATCCTCGGACAATATCAAACAAGAGAGGAAATCAAGGAACGGTTCTATCCGACGAAAATATCAATGGCAAAGAAGGTAGTGCGAACAAGTCTATGAAGAAGAAGAAGAAGAAGAAGAAGAAGAAGAAGAAGAAGAAGAAGAAGAAGAAGAAGAAGAAGAAGAAGAAGAAGAAGAAGAAGAAGAAGAAGA